GGAGGGAGGGAACGGCGGGGTACGTCGGAGCCACCATCATTTCCTGTGGGACAGTGCGTGGCAGAAGGTAGGGCCCATCATGGGCCCACGTGCAGATAAGAGAAGTATAGGCGATCACTTGCACATAAGAAAAGTGTAGGCGATCACTTGCAAATTAGAAAAGTGTAGACGATGGAAAGCGGCGAGGGGACTTTCGGGGTCTGGCATTGCCGGCAGCGATCTCTATCCTAGGCTTGCCAAGCAACGTACTCGCCGTCTCACCACCCCAATCTCTTTTTTTCCTTGTATCCTTTCGATCTATAATCCGCATGTGCGTTTAGGACACCATCACGACTGTGGATGCCATGAAAGGAGCGCACAAAGCCCTGAAAGTGGAGGCCAAGAAAGTCAAGATAGATGACATTGAGGTAGGGAGGGAGGGAGGGAGGGAAGGGGGGGGAGGAGCGAGGAAGATGAAATTAAATGTTGGAGGGGATGCGCGACACCATAGTCTCCGAGCACGTTGAAAGGCTCTGTGTGGCGCGAGACCGAGGAGGGAGAAGGACCGGGGTGGGGTTCAGATTGGCAGAAGAGATCAGGATCGTCAGGGGGGAGTGAGTATGACGGAGAGAGCCTGGGTAGGAGACCTGGCGGTCCTTACCCACCATTAGGGGGGACTTCGGTGGGGAAGAGTATGTACAGGCAGGCAAGGGGTATTCTCTCATTGTTAGGGTGAACCTACGGGCAGCTTACCAGTCAGTCGGTAGGGAGGGCATGGCTGCGATCGATCCGCATTTATTCTGTGTCTCTTGCCTTCCTTCTGCGTCGCCTAGGACTTGACGGACGACCTGGCGGACATGATGGAGGACATGAACGAGATCAACGATGCTTTAGGCCGCAACTACGGCGTTTCCGACGAGATCGACGAGGCGGATTTGGACGCGGAGCTGGCCGGCTTGGAGGATGAGCTGGAAGGACTGGGCGAGACGGAGGGTAAGGGAAGGGGAAAGGGGGAAAGGGAGGGGCGGGAGGGAGAAGGTGCCAGCCTGGGTCGGCGCGGCATGGATGGGCCGGGCGTTTGGGGGACAGGGAATATTGCCATAAGGGTCGCCGACTCCGCAGGGGGGGCTCCCCCGGCGAAGGCCCCTGTCCTTTCCTCCTGACACGTTGGTACCCGCCTATTCCCTCTTTCCCCCTTTTTCCCCGCCACCGTTGGGTGCGTCCACCACAGCCGATGCGACCGCGTCCCCGGCCGAGGCGACCCCTGCCTATCTCTTGCCCAGCGAACCTGTGAACGCACCTGAAGCCAAAATTGGCGCGCAAACAACCACCGACGAATTTGGCTTGCCCGTGGCCCCGGTCCACAACTAGGGAGCCCGCGGTATAGGGGGGGAGGGAGGGGTTGGGGGGGGGCCTGACATGTGCACATGTTTTGTTCAAAGCAAAAAGAAGTAAAGCGTTGGGTGTATACCGTGAAAGCCCCCTTGCTTTGGTTGTCTCGCGGGGGTTTGATCCGTGGACAGTGCAGTGTATCCTCGCGCGATCAGATGGATTTCTTTATTTGGGAATGCTGTATTGTCATGCATCGATATTTCAAGTCTTTCTGAAAACTATGTGGGGCGTTCGCGTGCTGATGCTGACGTCGACTTCCAACGCCCGTCCCTTGCCTGCAAAATGTTGTTGTAATTCCATGCCAGTCGCCTACTCATTCAAGTTCCGCCCCATGGTCATGAGGATGGAACAATGGGATTGTGAAAATTCTCTATGCACATACACTGTTGAGCTGCCTGGCTGCATTTTTCCCGAAGCAATTTCGAGCACATTTCCTATTTTTGACCCCTTGCCCTGCTCCCGACACCACGCCTCTCTTCCACCTCCTCCCCCTTCCCTTTCTCGCCTCATCTCCCTCCTCCTCAAGAAAAACTCGACGGTATCACCCCCGCCGCCTCCACCTCGGCTGATGCGGGGCCGAAACACTCATACTTCACCTCCTCCGCGGGCACTCCCAACCACGTCAACAAGCGTCGAACGCTCACCATGTACCCCGCCGGTCCACAAAAGTAGAAGCTACAGTCCTGCGGTCGTACCTTCCCGCCCAACGCCTCGTGTAAGGCGCTCGCCGTCAACCGCCCCGTGCCCCATCGGACTTTTCCCTCCTTCTTTCCCTCCGCCCCTCCCTCTACGGCTCCTTGTGTGAAGGACACGTGGCAGGCAAAGCGGGTGGGATGTGTGGCCGCGAGGCTCGCAAGACGGGCCGCAAAGGGGAAATGGGCCGCGTCCCTGGCCGTGTGGAGGAAGAAGACTTTGGGAGGGAGCGAGGAAGGGAAAGAGGGTCGATGCTCCTTGCTCTCTTGCGACGGCGTGCCGAGCAACACGGCTTCGGCCATGCAAAGCAGGGGAGTGATGCCAATCCCGGCTGAGAGGAGGACCAGGGGCCGTGGATGCGAGGAGGGGGAGGAGGAAGGGGTACAGGGAGGGGCGAGGACAAAGTCGCCGTAGGGTGGCCCGACCAGAATCTCGCTTCCCTCCTCCACCTTGTCGTGCATGTAGGTGGATACGGCACCCCCCGGGAGACGCTTGATGCTGATGCGGAAATAGGGGGGGCAATCCCCTTCCTCCTTCCCATCCTCTCCCCGGCCTTCCCCCTTACACTCCTTCTTCCCTCCCTCCTCCTCGGCCGATCGCGCTTTCCCGCCCGGCTCCAAGGCATGCGCGGACGCGGGTACAGCAAACTCGCTCAGACTGTAGTCTCGCTCTTCGACCTCCCCGTTGGGCAGGGTCAGGCGGAGGGAGATGTACTGGCCCGGTAGGTAGGCGCACACGGGCTCCCCTACCTGCCCATTGCTCAGGTAGAAGGAAGCCACATCCTCCGATTCCATCACCTTCCGTGCCACCCGCATGGTTTTCCACCCCGTCCACCCGTGCCGCTTCCGGGCATTGCTGGACCGGAGTCCGTCCTCTGTCTGGACGAAGACGGCGGCCAAAAATCCGTACGCTTGCTCCCAGGCTTTCAGCACCTCCACAGTCGCCACCTCGGGACCCAATACCTGCGCAATGGCCGCCAGGAGGCACTCTCCAACCATCGGGTAGTGCTCGGGGAGGACGTGGAGGGAGGCGTGTTTGTGGGCAATCAGGGAGACGGCCGCGGAGAGGGCGGAGAGGTTATCGATGTTGGCCGCGTAGGCCCAGACGGCATTGGCCAAGGCCTGAGGCTGTCGGGCGGGCGTCCCATCGGGTTCCGGCGCTTGGTTGCGTTTGTTGAAGAGTTCTTGGACGGCAGGGTACCGGGAGAAGAGGAGCGGGTAGAATACCTGGGTGATGCGGGGGCCTTGAGCCGCCAGGACGGGCGCGGTGGATTTCACCACGGAGACGATGTGCGGGCTCAGCACAGGAAGGGGAGGGGAAGCGGCTGGGGGGGAAACAGCAGGTGTTGACGATGGAGAAGGAGTGGAGGCTGGCGGCATGAGGCTTGCTGAATGCCGGGCAGAGTCGTGTGAGCCGTTCGGAGCGAATCTAGTCATGAGTGAGGGTAGGTATACAAGAGGTGGGGTGTAAGTAAAACTATCAGCATATTCGCGGAGGCAAAGGTCCCAGCCCACGATCCTGTGCATTCATCATAGGTATTCTTATTGGCCAGGTAGAGGCAGTGTGGCCTTGCCAATGCAACGGCGAATGTCCAGTCAATCGGATCAATATACCGCCACTGCCCGACTATCGTAGAACAGCAACGAATAACATTAAAGAAGAAATTTTTTGACACAATGCTTGAAAGGGTAATTGGTACATAACTGGTTGTCAGTGATCGTCCAGCACAATTGGCTACCTTGCCCCTTGGATTGACATTGAGAGCGTTTTGGGGTTATTGTTCAGAGCATGTCGTATCCCAGATAACAAACGTGGATCAGCAAAGCTCGGACCATGTCCATAAAATAGTGGCACGCAAGAATAGTTTCTAGCCTCATCAGTGAGTTCCGTTCGTTCTTCTTACAGAAGAAGAAGAATCTAATCCAAGCATGCGTAAAACAGGTAAGTGTGGTGTACCTACATGGTAACTCAAGATGCATAATCAAAGTGCAGTTTGCGTTGAAGTAAACGCAGCCCGAAACTCTTGAAGACCGACAGCCGGAAATAGTGGATCAGAAAGAGGGGGGAATAATACAAGAACTCATGCAAGACGACATGCACAAGGCAGCAATGGACGGTTGCCCAGCATCCATATGTTTTAACTGGAAGGTGCCCGCATTTCCCCCGTTTTTATGAGACCTGGGATCTGGCCACCGGTTGGCCATGTGCGAGTTATGACGTCATGGATTTGAAGCCGTCGTGAGCAGATATGTACGTCGCTTTACAGGCTCCGACGGGAAACGGAAAGGGGGAGAAGAGGAATGCACAGAGTCGTGGGGATGGCCAGTACTGGTTGCGAGGAAGGGATTTTGATTAAAGACGTGGCCTGCGGTATTTTGGTGCGGGTTTGTCGATGTCGTGCCTGTCAGACGTCACACTCACCGTAGTTCCTTCAAGACTGAGACATCGCTTCGCAGCCAGATTCCCACCGCGCCGGATCGCTGTTAATAGACGTTACGAGATGGGTTCATTTCCATGTTTCTTTCTTTGCCTTTCCTTTCCCGAGGAGTCTGGAACGTTCTTCTCTACGTGGTCTTGTCATTAATTTTCAGGCAGTGTGTTCTGCGGTATGTCTGGAAACTCTTCCGACCGGGCGCACTTTCCTGAATTAAATATGCTGCAAAATATAAAACATAATATTTGCGGAAATGAATCATATGATAAATGCTCATGGTCATAGAATGTATGCTAGACTTTCACTAAATTGCAAGAACACAAACATGCCCACACGCTCGGCCTCCTGGCGGGGCACACAATTTTATTTTTTTTCCTTGCTCATTTTCCTTCATATCCTGGAAAAAAATGTACCACTCCACGTTCCGTCAGCTCATGTTTTGCGCTATTTTTAAAGCACAGAGAGGGCAATCTTCGGCTATCTCAATCAATCAGGGCAGGAAGATCACATCCTGAGATTATCCCTTCTTGCTCGTGTTTTGTCGCTTTAATCGAAGCAGTTATTCGGTAAGGGCGCTTAGAAACTTTCGTTATCTTTGCTTAATATCCTAGCAGTGCCTCCGAGAAGGCGCCTTCCGTACTGCGTTTATTGTAATCGACGTCCATGTTTTCGAGCAACAAAAGACATGAGTGAGGCAGACGGATATGTCGAGCTTTTGGGAAAAAATCGTGTGCATCTGCTCTTTCATGGACACCCCCAAAATTCTGGGCTTCCGTGCTCGGGGCAAGCATATCGACAGCACAAAAGAAAAAAAAAAGGACGTACTCTTCTCGATTTGTGCGTGTCATCCTTGCGCAGGGGCCATGCTGTGAGGGTGGGACGGGATGGGAGACAAGAGGGGGCATGGTGAGAACCTGAGGGGAGGGAGCGCGGGGACTCGAACGTCGTACCCTCATCTACGGGACTAAGACTCACCTAATCTTCTCTGTATCGTTCCAATTTTAGCGTTATACGGTTTCCCGTAAACGAGTCACTAGGATACCATGCTAGCTATAAAGCTTGGTGTTGATTGTAATGGCCTTGAAACATGTGGATATCGGGCAGGGTTTTTTCAAACACTCTCCTTTCTGGGATTTTCAAATTGTTTCTTTGCAGAGTAACCTTTATACATGGACATGCTTGCCGTATGGGTAGTGCTTACGTATTTTCTGGCTATCAAGACGGACGAGAGAGATATAATGCGAGGCAACTGCCATAATCCTACTGGCATGCCAGTCGGCTTTAGTGCCTTTAGTTGGGCAAATGCAGGGAAAATCTGACACAACCACGACTAGGAACAGCTGTCAACATTTCATTGATAATGAGTAGTGTAGTGAAGGAGTGATGGTTCCACAATTTGCACAAAGTACTTATGGCGACCTTCCTAGCGTGCAGTAAGCAGATGTTCCAGCTCGAGCCCCCCACCCTCTTGTGACATACGGACACTCATGCACCCATTGACCCACAACATGTAAAACGTTATTGAAATTTGACGTGGTTACTTTTGATGTCGCCATGCAAGAGACTATTCCTTCCTGGAATGCGTAAAAGTGGCGTTTTCGACGGTCTCCTTTTACGTGCAAGACGCGTACGTATGGCTTGTCCTGTTTTGGGAGTCCTTTTCGGAGACGTACTCAGACCCAGCTTTTGAATTGCATCTTCAAATCCATACATATATAAGTATTATGCATATTAATTCATTCGTTCCCGGCATTCTTGGTCGCGCGGGTCTTGATAATTCAAAGTTTGATGGTACTCCTGATGACTGCTGACATCGAGAAGCAATTAAACCTGAAGACTGTGGAAGTAAATGGCAGCATCGAAAAGGATTTTGCAAACGCAACAAAATGTAAAAAGTGCTAAACTGAGACTCCAACTTGTAAGTTACTTTACTTTGTGTGGCGTGTTAACCCGCCATGTTTATTTGCTCTAAACAACGAAGACCTAAGTTGCTGCCTTTCCTCGTGCTTTCAAGCTTAGTCATCGGCTCCCACTTCCGCCATTTTATGTGGCGATGGGATGGGCACGAGCATCAAATCATGTGCGGCCAAGACTCGGTCCGCCCGGAGTTTCGAAGTCTTGCGCGCCATGTCTTCCAAGCGTTTCATAATGGCGAGGCTCTCGGGGCTCAAGTCACCTTTGTAACGGGGGCTAAAGTGCGTCATGATCAACCGTTTGGCTCTGACCCGGTGCGCGAAATGACCGGCCATCTGTGGCGTGGAATGACCATGGGCCCGGGCAAATCGTTCCACATCCATGTAGGTGCCCTTATCGAAAGGCAGCAAGAAAGCGTTGGTCGCTTCATGGACGAGCACGTCGCAATCCTGTGCCAGCACGGCGATCCCTGAGGCGTCGGAGGTGTCTCCGCAGATGACGATTTTACGGCCCTGTTTCGCCGCCTCCATTACCTCCTCCGCCCGGAGCAAAGTCCCGTCGGGGAGGTTGACTGCCTCCCCGGGCTGGAGAGTCTTCAAGAGGCGGAAGATCTTGTTGGGGTCGCTCAGTCCCTGTTCAAGGAGACCGGCCTTGTTACGTTCCACGATGGGCCGAACGTACTCTGTGGTGTGGGGAGGGATCCGAGGGAAAGAGTGATGGAAATGGAGGGGCAAGTCGGGGGGTCAGCCATGGCGTTCCAAGGATCATTTTGAACCTTTGAATGTAACGGTCACGACAGCTGGGCCCCTGCCAATGGCGACACCAAGAAAGGAAGAGACCCCCTTTAGATCCCTTTCCAGATCCTTGCCGGACGTCCTCCTTACCTGCACGCAGTCGCCCTGGCTTGTCCTTCTCGGTCACGACGAAGCCTACGCATGGCACCGTGTGGACCATGGGCGCCGCTTGCACCTGTTTCAGGGGGAAGAGCTGTTTGTCATTACTGTTGACTTTGTTCAATATTGATGGTGACTCTGTTTGCCATCACAAAGATTTTCGCCATTACTGTTGGATTTATTTTGTTTGCCATCAATGTTGACTTTGTTTGCCATCAACGTTGACTTTGTTTGCCATCGATAATGGAGTTGTTTATCATCGATATTCATTTCAAGTGCACCGTTCCAATGCGCCATCGATGCGGTCAGTATCCCCGCGGGACCTCCTCCGCCTCCCTCCTTCCTCCCCTCACCTTCATCTCCCCCTCCTCCACCAGATTCCACACCCCCTTCTCATCCGGGTATAAGTCTTGGCCTCCCTCCACCTCGTTGAAGCGCGTATCCAAGGGCATGGACTCTTCCGACATGAGGGGCGGGCGTTGTCCACGTCTGTAGGGGCGGAGGGAGGAAGGAAGGGAGGGAGGG